ACATTAATATCTTAGTAAAAACGTTACAAAACAATAAACATAAAAATAACAAATAACTCTTACCCATCACCCTCAGGGACTATGATGATTCTGCCATATTGATCATAATGCACTTCCTCGTCATCATCGTCATCATCGTCCGAAGCATGTTTATCAGAGGCATGTGTGGACGGTGTAGGGGGGTCAGAGCTACTACCTGCAGGCGAAGGCCTGAAATAGATGAAGTCGCTGATAAAGATGGCTGCGATCCCTGTGACTACGACATATTTGGATGGACCCCAAGTGGCTGTGATACTGATTGTTGTGACCCGAGTGGCTGTGACATCGATGGATGCGATCCATGTGGCTGTGATATGTAGGGCTACGATATAGATGACTGCGATCCACGTGGTCGTGAGGCTGCTGGACTGTATGTCGGACGTATAGTCCTATGGCCTTGTGATGAAAGACCTGGTGTCTGGATGAAGGTGTAGGGCTCGTGATGCTGTGGCATCTCAGTATAGCCGTGGGGTGGAGGATAAGACATGGGCATCTCTGAAGAGGGTGGAAAAGAGGGAGTATTATTATCTACCCTCCTTTTTCCCTTCTTATCCTTTTCTCGACCCCGAGAACCAATAGAGTCATTGTTACCTTGCCTGCCATCTGCATAATATAATACATATTTAGATTGAAACATATAAGAAACTAGTTATAAAATGAGAGTGCTTTAAAAAACCAACTTTTTAAAGCTCAACGACGTATTGTTCCTCGTCCAAGAATTCTTCGTCCTTACTTGTTTGAGCTTCATCAGTTGATTCTTCGTCCTCATTTTCTATAATTGTTACTTCATTTATATCAACTTCTTCCAATATGCGTTCAGGACGTTCCAAATCATTTTCTAACTGATCGTCCACTATTTGGTGAACACTAGAGATATCGTTTTGATATGCAACATCTAACACATTCTCGACTTCCACCCTATGTACAGGCTTAGTTTTTATTACAACCCACCAATCGGACTTATTCCGCCGTAATGGATAAGGAGCATAATACACTTGCCTAACATTATGTGCAATTATGAAAGGATCATAGCGATCATACTCCCTCGTATGATTAACCTCAATTATGTTGTATTGGTTGTGTACTCTTGTACCTCTTGTTGGATTTGGGTCAAACCACTTACATCTAAAGAGTATCAATTTCTTATATGGCCAACCTGTATATTCTAGTTCTGTTATTTCTTTGAGCACGCTATAATAATCAATATCTCCAACTTGGTTGCCATCACCACCTCGAACCCACGCCCCGTTGTTGTTGCTATTTTTATTTTTAGAGCAATCCTCTGTATGGAACTTATAACCATTCACTACGTACTTAGACATTGTTGTGACCTCTAGCCCAGGTCCCCAAGATATATCTTTCAAAAATTGATTTACACCATTATTTGGATTATTTACCTACATAGTGTTAAAAAATTCATAAGTTAGCATATTACAAATATTATTTACCTTCATAGTGTTAGAACATTATCACAATAAACTTACAAATTATTTGAACCACGTATCAAATCTCGTATATACAGCATCATGGCCAAATTGACCCACGAAGTGACTGTGACACATCAAATATTTTTAATAGTTGCACTAAGATATAACCACAGTAAAATTTATATTTTGATAACTAATAAATCAATACTTACTTGAGAAATGGTACAACTTAGGGACCAAAGTTGGTCGGTAAATGCTTCCCTTGAATTAACCGACCAACTTTGGTCGGTAATTTTAAATAAAATTTCTTTAGAATTATATAAATATTTTAAATAATAATATAACTATTAAATTTTAAAATGGTTCCACATTACCGACCAAAGTTGTTCGGTAAATGCTTCCCCTGAATTAACCGACCAACTTTGGTCGGTAATTTTAAATAAAATTTCTTTAAATTTCATAAAATATTTTAAATAATAATATAACTATTAAAATTTTAAAAATTGGGTCCACATTACCGACCGAAGTAATGTGAAAGTTGGTCGGTAATGTGAAAGTTTCTTTGACTAAGCAAGTCTAACCAGCTCGGTCAACTTGTTGACCAACTTACCGACCAACTTTGGTTGGTACTTTTTTTAAAATAAATGAAAAATATTTTTCTCCCAGTTTCCGCCCAACTTTGATCGCTTTTTCTGACCGACCAACGTTGGTCGGAAAATTTTGGTCGGTAATTACCGGATTTCTAGTAGTGAGTGCCAAGAATGTACAATCATTTGCCTCTATAAAAGCATTCGACCTTGTTGAATATGTGAAATCAAAATCTGGATATACTATTAACCTTACAGAAAAGTTGTATGCTCTTACGAATGCTGTAATTTGTAGAGCAGCATTTGGGAAGGGAGAAAAGAAGAATCAGCATATTTTATGTCTTTGATAAAGGAAGTGTCCTTAATGGTAACCGGTTTGGATATAAGTGAAGTGTTTCCTTCACTCAAATTTTTGCATGCTATTCTCGGAAATGAAGCGCACAAGGAGAAGCTGCAAATTAGTAAGCTGAAAAAGGATGGTGAAGAAGAATCAATTAGAAAAGAAGATTTAGTGAATTTGCTATTAAGACTCCAAGAAAGTGGCACTCTTGAATTTCCTTTCACTGCAGACAATATCAAAGCAGTCATATTGGTGAGATGTCTTTACTTTCTTTTTAGTTTTTTTACATTAGTCCATTGTAAATAAGTCGTATTATTATTCATTCATTCTTGAAATGGGTGCATCTTATCTAAATTTCGGCTACCAAAGGGGTACGTGTATGCTCATATTAATAGAGATTTAAATTATACACACTGAAATAAATATGTTTTAATTTTTAAAATATGATAGCAAGTTATTTATTGTTTTACCAAATTACTAGTTCATGTTTATCGAAAAATATACATATAATTACCTAAAAAAATAATCTGATTGTGTAAATATTTTTTATCCCATTAATCATAGAACTTAAGCTCTATTAATAGAAGCCCATTATCAATATTTTCGAAAACATTTACTAAAAGAATTGATGATCGTCATTACTACTAATAGAAGTCCTCGGTTATACCATAAGTACTTTCTCTATTCCATTTTACGTGTCATTTTTGTTATTCGTTAAAAATTGACGCATTTTATATTTAAAAATAATTTAATTTTAACTTTCTTAGTTTATTTTTAATTGCATTCTTTTATAGCCACATAAATTTCATGGAAGGATTAAGATCATAGACTTCAAAAGTTATTTTTCTTAATCTATTATATGATGAATCAAACACCGACACATAATTTAAAACCGTTGGTGTATTTATGTAGGTCAAAGTTACAAGATATTCATTTGATGAGTTACCCATAATTTGCAAGTTGCAAGTAGTAATAATTGTAAATGCATGCAGGACATGTTTTTAGCCGGGACTGAGACTTCAGCAACCATTCTTGATTGGGCAATGGTATAAAAGATGAGAAACCCCAAAGTCATGGAAAAGGCACAAATAGAATTGAGACAAATTCTCAAGGGAAAGAGAAGAGTAATAGAGAATGATTTAAAAGAAGTGAGGTATCTAAAGTTAGTAATCAATGAAACTCTGAGATTACATCCACCACTTCCTTTGTCACTTCCAAGAGAATGCAGGGAGCAATATGTAATTAATGGATATGATATTCCCATAAAAACAAAGGTAATTGTAAATGCATGGGCAATTAATAGAGATGTTGAGTTTTGGGAGGATGCTGAGAGCGTTGTGTCACGATCCAAAATCCACTAAGGGTCGTGATGGCGCCGTACACCACTGTCAGGCAAGCCAACACCAATTTACTTGTAATTTCTTGTTTTAATAACTTCGAAATCGTTTCTTTTATACATTAAACAATACGTAATGAATTTCATTGAATAGGTATTTATGTCTTTAACAAACTTAATATTAAATAATCCCATAAACATCCCAGAACCCGGTGTCACAAGTGCATGAGCAATTACTAAGAGATCGAATAAAGCACAATAACTGTCCGGAATACAAATTGGACAGAAAGTGAATACAATACGCTGAAAGAGACTATACTGGCTGCGGGTCGCCCCGGGAAATGCAGCTCACCTAGTATCCGTATCATCCATGCTGTTACGCCCAATGGGCCATTGGAAATACATGTGCCTGTGCAACAAAAATGCACAGCAAGTGTAGCATGAGTACGAAAACAACATGTACTCAGTAAGTATCCCGTCTAATCTCGAAGAAGTAGAGACGAGAGGTCGACTTCGACACTTACTAGTGGTTCAATAATGATACGTCAATAATATAATAAGTCGAGGATTTTTATAAACATGATTGTAATTCAATAAAATGAAGCAAGTAAACAATTCTTTCTTTTATAGGAAATTTCCAAATTCCTTTTCATCATTTATACATATATTCTCAAGCCGGAAATAAACAATATCAACTTCAATAAATTTCAAGGCAAGCAATACAAGCATGCGCAAATCATGCTGAGGTCGTACGGCCCGATCCAACAATATTTAAGTGCACTGCCAGAGGGTCGAATAGCGCGAACCATAGATGCATCTATTTAATCTATCAAGGCGTTCAGGCCGCTCCACAATATATAAATTCATTCAAACAACCAATCAAGAGTTCATCAAGGAGCAATTATCCAAGTAAAAGGCAAGTTTCGCTTTTAAAAATCAAGGAAACAATGACTAGTCTTTTAGATATTCATTTATACATTCGATATGTTTTAAGCACTTTTAATTGACAACGAGATTTCAAATATTGCAAGTAAAGCATGCTTTTGGGTCCTAGACTACCCAGACTTAAGCATAATAGTAGCTACAAACGGACTCTCGTCACCTCGTGCGTACGTAGCCCCTACAAATAGCAGCACATATTCAATTAATTCACCTATGGGGACAATTCCCTCATACAATGTTAGAAAGGAGACTCACCTCGCTCCGAAGCCTATATCCCAATTCAAGAACGCACTCAAACCTCCAAATTGGAGCCGAACGATCCAAAACTATTCGAATGGGGTAAGAACTAGTCAATATATGCTCAAAAGTTCATATTCTAGTTATTAAACCAATTTTCCAACCCTAAATGCAAGGTTCCTAAAATTCATCCCGGGCCCACGTGCCCGGATTCCGAAAATTTTTGAAGAAAGTTGTTACCCATAACCTAAGGATCAATAATATATAATTTCTACTTCATTCCATAATAAATTTCGTGGTTAAATCTTGTTTTTATCAAAACCCTAGGTTTTACTCAAATCCTATGATTTTTACTAATTTTTGTGTGTTAATCTACCCAAAACCCAAGTATTAAACTCACATTGAGTAGAAATAACTTACCTCACAATGCTAGGTTGAAATCCCCTCTTTGAAAGCTCCAAAATTGCCCAAGAGATAAAAGAAAATGAGCTAAATGGTCTAAGTCCCAAAATTAATAACTTGGCACAACCCTTTGATGTCGCATTTGCGACAGGAAGATGCAAAGATTGCATCGCAAATGCGACCCCCGACTGGACTGGCCCATTTCGCAAATGCGATAAGGGTTTCACAAATGCGAACCCTTCAGGCCTCGCAAAAGCGACCCATTTGTCGCAAATGCGAACCATCCCCTCAGCCGCCCAGGTTCGCAAATGCGAACAGCACCTTGCAATGCGATGACCGCATTTGCGACCAAAACATCGCAATTGAGATCATACCAGTACCAGCAATCCAATTTCTTAGCAAAATGCTCCGAAGCTACTCTGAAACTCACCCGAGCCCCCGGGGCTCCAAACCAACTACCCGCACAAGTCTAAAAACATAATACGGACTTGGCCAAGGCTTCAAATCGCATCAAACAACGCTAGAATCACGAATCACACTCCAAATCAAACATGATGAACTTTAAAATTTCAAACTTCTACTTTCGATGCTTAAACCTATCAAATCACGTCCGATTGACCTCAAATTTTGCACACAAGTCGTATTTGACATTACGGACCTACTCCAACTTTCAGAATCGGAATCCGACCCCGATATCAAAAAGTTCACTCCCGGTCAAACTTCTAAAAAACCTTCAAATTTCTATCTTTAGCCAAATGACTCCAAAATGACCCACGTACCTCCGAATTCACTTCCGATCGTGCTCCCAACACCAGAATCACCATACGGAGCTATTCCCAGACTCGGAATCCCAAACGGACATCGATAACACTAAAATGCACTTCAACCCAAACTTATGAAATTTCTCAAAAAATGCTAACTTCCACAATAGGTGCCGAAACATTCCCGGGTCTTCCAAAATCCAGTCCGGACATACGCCCAAGTCCGAAATTATCATACGAACCTGCTGGAACCTTCAAATCCCGATTCCGAGGTCGTTTGCTCAAAAATTCAATCTTTGTCAATTCTTTCAACTTAAAGCTTCCGAAATGAGAATTCTCTCTCCAAATTAACTCCGAACTTCCCGGAATTCAATTCTGACCACGCGTACAAGTCATAATACCTTAAGTGAAGCTGTTCAGGGCTTCGAACCGCTGAACGATGCGCTAGAGCTCAAAACGACCAGTCGGGTCGTTACACTTTGTACCAGAGAGGATCAATATAATGATAGTAGAAATAGTATGGAATTTATAGGACAAGAGTTTGAGTAATTACCATTTGGAGGAGGAAGAAGAATGTGCCCTGGAATTTCATTTGGTTTAGCCAACATTGAGCTGACTTTAGCTCATTATTTCAATTGGAAGCTGCCTAATGAGATGAAGCCTGAGGATCTTGATGTTACTGAAACTCCTGGTTCTAGCTGCACAAGGAAATATAACTTTTTGTGTAATAATGGAATAGTTGATATCAGTAATTAATTAATGTTTTGTGATCTTTTCGTTTTTCACAATTTAAATTATTCTAGTTTGATGTAATTTTACAGATTTGAGCCCTTCCCACTCTGATATTTGATCAGATTGTTGGTTGCATCAGCTTGATTTCATATCCATCTGATACTTATAATCTAGTCTTAAATTTTGAAACTATGAATCATTAATGAAATATCATGGGATATGGTTTGAAGCTATGATCATTTTCATTTTATACTTAGATAAACCTCCAAATAATCAATTTTGCTTTGCCTAAAGTACAGTTTGAAGAACATCCTTATTTTTACCAAATTAAGTGGAGTAATTACGTAAGATAGCCCTTTAGTCGCATAAACAAGTGTAAAAAGAGAACATATTTTGGAATTATTTCATGATTAACTATCATTGGCAGTACTGGAATTAACTTCTTAATCAAAGTTTTGTGTAAGGAGATTTCTCAAACAAAGGGAACACAAATAGTCTGGCACATGGAATATATATATATATATATATATATATTGAAAATTTTACAAGTTTTATACACACACTAACATATACTATAACAAGTTATATATGCATCGAGACGTTTTATTTTTACAAGTGGACAGAAGGCTACATGNTGTGGCTATATGAGTGTTGCTCGACTGTGAGCATGGAGATTGCTACGAGGTCTTCTGACTCAATACCTCGTATGTTAAGATGGTCAGCTTCTAAGGAGCAGATTTGGTTAACTGCCTTTGAAGAGAAGGTCATCAAGCCTGAGTGGATTAAGGTATTTTTTTCAGTTTTTTCTTACTGTCTACATTTACCTACATAACATCTACAATTATTCTACATTTTCTGCATTATTGGAACTTACTTTTTCTTTTCATCATTCAGTTCACATCCATGACTGAATGTGGAGAAGAGATTACAGTTCTTAATTTGCCAAAAAAAAAAAATTGATTATGGAGCTGAGCTGGGTGCACAGTCATCAGAGGTTCCAAATGTTGATTCTCCAACATTGGAACCCAAACATACAGAAGCTCAACAGGAAAATGAATCTGTGGCTAAGAAGCTAAAGAAGCTGCAAAAGGGAATTAAGCAGGTATTAATATTAACTACAATGTTTTTACATTTTTATATTTTATCTACATTTTCATAACAATTTATGTAGTCTGCAGTGTAGCTAAATTGTAGTATAATTCTACAATTCTATATTTTTTACTTGTAGGTTGATGAGAAGGTAGATGGTTTTAGGAAGGCTGTCTTTGAGGAACTCCATAACCTTAGAGTTTTTGTGGATGAATCTGTGAAGAATGTGGTGAAATTGATAAACAGGACAAATGTTGTGGATGAGGCAAAGGTAATAGTTGACACATATTTATATACCAAAACAAATTATGTACACTACAAACTATATACTAACATTAAATCTATAGTTTGCTGGTAGTTCAACCAAAAATAATGACCAACCACAAGGATTGAACAACCAGCAATTTCATTGCAATATTGGTGCTCAAGTGCATGCAAGCACAAGCAACACAGGTATCTACAAACTAGCTAAAAATTAGTTTTATTGTTAACATTTTACCTACATATTCCTATATATATCTACAACTTTCGATGCAGTATTATATAGTATTATTTATCTTTTATATTTTAACTTGAAGCTGCAGTTTGTCAAGAACATGTTCCAGCACATGGGGACTTATATCCAGATTTTCAAGAAGCAGCTGAGGTTGAACATGCAGGTATAAAATCATGCTGTCATTCATAAAATGTAATTTTTCTTTATACTATTTTACATTCATGTTAAGTAATATATGTTTTATGTAACAGATATTGATAATGTCAATGTGTGTTCCCCAATTCATGGAGTGACAGTAGCAGCTGAAACAGAACAAGTCAGTGAGACACATCAAAAGGAAGTTGAAGATGCACTTCATGTGGATGAAGTTGTTCTGAAGGATCAGGAATTGATAAGAAGGG